AGTTGCAAGCGTGGCAAGGGTCTGAGGGGCCGTATCGAGAGCAGCTAGACGTCTCTCTAAAGCATCCCAAACGTGCTCGATAGGATTCAAGTACGGGGATCGAGCTGGCCACTCCATACACATAATTGTTTCCTGTTGAAGATGATCATCTATGATGCGAGCCCTGTGTGGTCTTGCGTTATCGTCCTGTAACAGGAAAGCATCACCTATTGCCCCACCACATGGGCGCACATAAGCATCAAGAATGTCATCTCTATAAACCGGAGCATTCACGGTTTCCGTTGGAAAGACATGGAGGTCTGTGCGTCCACCCAAAGAGATGCCACCCCAAACACAGACACTGCCTCTTCTGTATGCATCTCTTTAGCAGATGTTTGATGGATGATAACGGGTTCCAGGTTCTATCCATATCAAATAACACCTCCTATCGCTTTCTAGACTAAATTTAGACTCATCCGTAAAGAGAACAGCCCTCCACTGATCAGGCGTCTAGTGGACATGTTGTTGTGCCTACTGCGAACGGTTCCTCCTATGGCGTGACACGAGCGGCATGCAAATCGCTGATCGCCTCGCTTACAGACCACCTTACTGAAGCCTTCCATGCACAGTTGACGTTGACACCAACCTTCTGGTGGCTACAGCAAGGGAGGATCTAAGAAGAGTCGGAGTAGCGGTTCTATTCCTGTGTGCACATAATGTCAAATATCGGTCATCGGCGCTTGTCGTAGCAGTTGGCCGTATTTGCCTTAACCTCCTAGATGCTGAATTTGTGGTTTGAAATCGCCTCCAAAGTCTATGAACCACAGGACTCACATTTAGCCATCTGGCCACTTCTGTTTGACTTTATCCTGCCTCTAGTCTTCCAATGGCTTTCCATCATAGTTCTGCAGGAAAATGATGCCTGGAGGTCATTGTTACGAATTGGCTATCTGATATTTCTGATGTCACTATCACAGTAAAATATGTGGGCTTGCTCTCAAACATGGACTTTATTCTTCTTGCAGATGACGTATTCCGAGTGCAGCGCCACTAATTTGTATATTGCAGTTTTACTTAGCTACTCTTACTTGGCAACATATTCAAATTTTACCCGGTTTGGCTTATTTTTGAGGGAGTTATCACTATTTTTGTGATTTTTCCCTTAATTTATGATAGCAAGTGTATTATTATTACTTTCTTTCTGTTTATTACTTTTGTATAAATTATTACTATCATTTTCTTCCTGTTAATTATTTTTGAATTTAAGAATAAATTTATTGAAAAAGCTGGAAATATTGTATTGCTATTTGCTTCAAATGCTGATTTTCTTTCCAAACAAACTTCATGAATTAATTTTACTAAAACATCAAATCAATATCAAGAATCTGATTTTTTTTTACAGTAAAAATATTAAAAAAAGAAGAAATTATTTCCACTTATTTAAGAATAGTCACAATAGTCAATTGAATGGTGTAAGCTTTGTATAAGTAATAAAAAAATAATCTTTTGAGAAAATGCTCTTATGAAGTCCAAGACGGAAAAAAATGTAGCAAAATATTCTTAAAACAACAGTCAACAGTCTACACAGTTTTGTTTCCTGGTGATCTCTGTTTTTTAATTACGTTCTTCATGAAAGGAATTTACTTTTAATGAAACTGAATAGCACACATAATTCATAACATGGATTATAGTTTAATGAATAGCATTTGTTATTATTATCCACTCTTTATTAATATCATTTGAATGGAATTTTTATCATTAAATTCATGCTAGTTCTCTGGTAGAAATTCCTGGATAAGGTATGAATGTTTATAATTTTGTTGTATTTGAAGATTTGGGCACCTAAAATTTGTCAATGTGAAATTACTTTTGAGATATTGGTCATAAATAGAAATAACAGCATATGTTGTAATTAAACTCTTTTTGGTGCTTTAATATGCATGTCTGCCAGTGAGTGAAGAATTGCCATAATCTGACAGCAAATAAAAAATCATTAAAAGTAATTACTTCTGACAACAGACACGGATGAAACTTACATCTATGGCATCTCAAAGCAGAGCAGAGTTTAATTTGAATTACTCATGTGATATAAACATACCAGTTTGCAGAATTATCCACAAAAATTCCTGAAAGTTATTGTTTACTTTGTACTGTATTCTCTCGTGTGTAAACCTCTTTTTTTTTTTTTTTTTCAGAAAAAGCATATGAAATTCAGGGGTGCGACTTATACATGCAAATGATTAGAAATAGATGCATACAAACAGCTGGCAACACAGCAAAATGCATTTAATGCTTGAGCATAAAATACATTGTTGGGTGAACGTTTGTTTCATAGTATTATACAAGTTTAGTTGCGGTTGCTGGTTATGGTGACCAGTTGTGGAATACTAGTACTAGTGATAATTGATACAGGTAGTGCAGCCAACTACTGTAGTGATCGACAGTAACAGTGAATAAGGAGTGCTAAGCACAGAAACATGTTCCTTTTGATTGAAAATTAAAAAAAAAAAAAAATAATGTATGGTCAGTACTGTTTTCTGCTTAACTGCTTTCACACCTGTAAAATGGAAAAATACTATATATACAGGGTATCTGTCACTTATACTCAAGATTTTTTTAAATTAGGCATATTTAGAATGTCATATTTCTCCCAAGAGAAATTACATATATAAATTGAAGAAGGTTATATATATATAAATATGCATGCACATGTTTATAGTATAGAGAGTACTACAGTGCAATGCAAAAATATTCCATACTGTTTGCACAGAAATATGTGTCAACCAAGTATTGGTCTTTCCAAAAAAAATCTCTCTAGATCATTTTGTTCTTTTTCTTTTTTTAACCTTCCTCCATTGCCTCTTGGCTAATAAGAAGGGCAGATAAAAGAGCATTCTGTTGAGCCAATAAAACTTTGTGGTGAGCTGAAAAAGCCATGACACAAAATAACGAAAACAAGCAGACTGAACGTAGGAAATCAATCGAGCAGGAAAACAGCACGCGAAAGGTGTAGACACATCACGCATGTGCAAATTTAGCTTCTCTCATTGGCCACAGCTTAGACCCCGTCTCGCAGGTGTGATGGAACTCCCATATTTTATGACCTTATGACTATGCCTCTATGTCCTTTATGCCACCGTCTGAATGCAGCCTAATGCAATAAGCCTCCTCATGATGCACCCTGGTTAAAACTAAATCTCTCACAGCATTACCTCACTTCCTTGTCCTTTTGACCATCTGGATTGCATTAAATTATGGGACCACTTTTATAAATTAGAATTTTCTGAAAAACACATTACTCTTGTCTCCTTTTAAAGCAATTTTTTAAGCATATGCTACTACCAGTATGCTTATATTTAAAAAATACCATTAATTAAAATTCATTCAATTTTTATTAGTTTTCAAACTAATTAAAGAACACATATTTGTTTTTAAGTCTGGTGTCATTAGAAAGTTCAGTTCTCTTTCACTTGATGACAGTTTGTTATTTTCAAAATCCCAATGGAAAGGATCAAGAACATAAAAATTCACTACATTTACCACTAAGTTTCAAATTGCGAGCTCAAATGAATATATGTCATTTCATAAGTTTTTTCTAATAATGATATAATTTTCTACTAAAAAAATTCTCCTGATGATTTTTGAAGAATTTTTTGCTCCTGATGAAGGGGGACCCATTTTGCCTTCGAAATCATTTGGGATTTTACAAAATCTACGCGAATACAAGGTTGTCAATTTGCCTGTTTTATTTTGCATGTTGGCGTGTTTCTCTTGCATCTTGTACTATTGTATTACAGTAAAATTTGACAACAGAAGACAGTCAACAATAAAGCTAGAATAAACCAAAATACCATAATGGAAACATTAATTAATAATAATTAATTAATACAAGGGTTGGAACTTTAATAGTGGCAACTATTTATTTACAAGGAATACAAAAGTGATTCATGTCACCATGTTTTACAGTCCTTCAATATAGTCGCCAGCATTGTGTACAACCTGTTTCCAACGATGTGGAAGTCACAAAATACCTGTAGCAGCGCCTGTTTTGTTGATGGTTTGAAGACCGGTCTACTGCCGCAAGAATCTGAGGAACAGTTTGGAAGCGAGTGCCACGAAGTGGTTCCTTCATCTTAGGAATTTAGTCACAAGGGCTTAGATCTGGGGAGTATGGTGGATGGTAAAGCACTTCCCAGCCCCATCGCTTGAACAAATCAGTCACAGCTTGCGCTCCATGTGGCCGAGCATTGTCATGCAAAATGAGAGGAGCGTTCTGCAGAAAGTGTCGCCATTTTTTTCTCAAAGCTGGTCGGAGATTGTGCTCCAAAAATGAGCAGTAATACTGTGCAGTGACGGTCTGCTGTGGGGGAACGGTATGTGTTAGGATGACACCACACCATCTTTAGACTTTAGACCGCGAGCTAATACGAGGATCCGTTCTTCGCATCACTCCGCATGCGCATGACGTAGGCAGGACGAGTCTTTTTGCTGAGAGGTAAGGTAGGTATGTAGTTTACGTGTGGTATACGCGATATTCTTTGGTTTTGTTGCGTAGCGTTTTTTCAGCTGTGTTGCCACTATTAAAGTTCCAACCCTCGTAAATAATTTTTATCAAGTGAAAAATGTGCTATGTTGACTACCATAAAAACAATTGGCTTATTTACATTAATTAGCTTACATTATTACGTAGGTTATCCATTAAGACAGTTTCAACAAGATCAACAAGAAACAGTTTAGCTAACTGACTTGTACATTTTCACAGAAATCAAAGTTTCAGTAAAATCAACCAATTGCCCCTATAGTATTTACCCTCAACTTATTTGTTTTAATTTAACTTAACACAGTCCCTAAGACAATTTTATGCATTTGCTTATCAAGTAATTATTTAATCCAAACTATTTCATGGTTCCTTAAATGTTATCCTATGGAAGGAAGGGAACATGAAAAGGCACCATGAAAGGAAATATCTATATCTCATGGCTAGTGAAATAGATCTAAATGATACAAAAAATATCAATCACCTTCCTGATTAACATTATCTTTTTCTGCTCCTTTTCATTTTTCATCTCCTCAGGAGTCTGATCTAAAATAAAGTTTTCATTTAGTATATAGAATATAACTGAATAATACAAAGCAAAATATGCTTAAGAAAAAATAGTTAAAACTTAGTAGTATAATGATCTGTTAACCTACACAGTAATGAATATTACTTAAAAATTTCTCAATGACCATTTAAAGTTTGGACTTTTTTGCTTTTTAGGTCATTCATTATTGTAGATGTTATCTATTTTTCGTTCACTGCAGAAAACAATCATTAAACTAAAAGTTAAAAACATACTGCACTTAACAAAAGTGCTAACATTCTTTTCATCAAAGAATGTTAAAAATCTCATTCCCATTTTCCCTCTTATTAGTTACTTAACACAAATTACTTTATATTTTTCTCTAGAAATTCAACATTAAAATACTTTTTTTTCTAGAATATTTAATTTGACTCATGAAGCTGTATTCCAGATATAAATTCCTGTAGCATTTAATATATTCTTCGCTTGAATGGATAGTTATAACTTGGTCACGTTCGTTAACTAATTATGATAAAGAAAATTATCTGGCATCTACTCACAAAAGGACTAACTGCTTTCACTTTGAGTTTCCTGAAGATGACTGGTGCATATTTGGGTTATCAAATAAATAACAATGAAAACTCCCTTGCTGTCATCTTATTCAGCCACTGTTAACCTAACTGAAGACAGAATGCTAGTATATTATGATTTAGTTATTCATACAAATAAGGAATACTAACAGAACATCGAAACTTTTTGATACGAATATTTCATATGTGTTTTAGCTACTTAGATCGGCTGTCTGTTTGTGACATCTTATTTCGCATTGTGCAGTTCACATGAGCAACTCTAATTTTCATCTTTTGTATTCTTGTAAATGCTAACTGTAACTTTCACGCTTTGCTTCTGCTGTGTTATATTCTTAAGTTGAAACCGCGGAATAAAAGTTCAAATTTACAGTCCATTCACAAATGTTGTATTCTTAATGTTTATTAATTTAAATTTAAGATACCTCGCTGCAACATAATATTGGTCATCATACGCCGGAGGTTCGAGAAAAAGGAGCGCTTGGGAACAGGAATTCTACGTCTTCATAAGGTTGCTGATAGTTGACTTTCAGTTTAGAATTCTCAAGAGTTAATGATACAGTGTACAAGGTGAGTGAAAACTTTAACGCATTTTAATTGCATTTGCCATTTATTGTTGTTTTATTGTGATTAAAGTGTTAGCAAAATCGAGAATTTAGAATATTTTCAAAATATCAGATAAGGGGGGAAAGAGGGAAGAGAGCTTTGAAAACACTGTTAACGAAAGTCAGCAACAAAACGGATTATGATAGCTTAGATAACGCTGAAGCAGAATTAATCTCAGAAAATGTAAAATCTTTAAGGAAGAGTTCAAATTTGTCCAAACTGTGATAATGATAAAATAGACACTTTAGTTGAGGAAGAACAGTCGATTTTAAAGAAAATTGAGAAGGTTCAGTTAAAAATTACTCGTAACTTAAAGAACAACAAGGTCATAAATGCAAATAGCGACAAACCTGGCGTACTGGAATCCATCGCTGAAAGTTTAAATGCTTATGATGGTGGAAAAAAAAAAAAAAAAAGATATTAATTCCTCGAAAAAACGTTCTTCTAAAGAAATTTATGAACTGATTAAACAAAGAAATGCAGCCCACAGAAAGTTCCAGAGAACAAGAAATCCTGCTGATAAAACAAGGTTGAACCAGTTATGCAATGCTGTCAAATCTCAGATTAACTTACAAGCACAACTAGACTGGTCCTACTACTTTAACTTGCTCTCCACGGATGATAACTCACTGTGGAAAGCTCTTAAAAGGTACAAAAAATGCTATAATAACATTCCGTCCCTTAAAAGTCCACACAGGATCCATTACACTGAAGATGAGAAAGCAGAACTGTTAGCCGAGCATCTGGAATCTCAGTTTCATCTCTATAACATACATGAATCTAGTTACTAGTTTTCAGAAGAATTATTCTCCCGATCCACGCACTGACATCATCTCAGTCATGCCATCGGAAGTCCTTGAGTATATTAAAAGACTCACGAAGAAGAAAGCCCCAGGGCATGACAGGATTACAAATCAAATGACTCAGAAGTTCCCGAAAAAGACTATTTTCTCACTTGTCAAGATAATTAACCTAATTCTAAAATGGTTATACTTACAACACGACTGGAAGTTAGCGATCATCACTCCTGTTCTAAATCCAGGCAAGCCGGATTCCTATAGACCCATTAGCCTCCTGTCGTGCCTTAGTAAGGTTACAGAAGCAGTTATTCTCAACAGACTGAACAAATTCCTGGAAGATAAAAATGTCTTAATCGCATTCCAGTTTGGGTTCCAGAAAAATCTCGGCACCACTAATCAGTTACATAGATTAGTTGACACAATTATGGAAGGAATGCAAAACAAAAGGATTACAGGGGGCATCGTTCTGGACATCTCCAAGGCTTTCGATCGTGTACAGCTGGAAGCATCCTTATACAAAATACACAATCTGGGTTCCCTGATTACTTCACAAACATAATTAAATCCTACCTGACCGGTAAACACTTTGTCATTCATATCTCAGGCTCACATTCTACTCGCCATGCTATCTTAGCAGGTGTCCCCCAAAGGGTCCTCTTGGCAGCCACACTCTTTAATATATATATGAATGATATTCTCACTACAACCAACACGACACTCGCAATGTACGCAAATGACACCAAGATCCTGATGTAATGTGCATTTGTTGGATCAGTCATCCAAAGGTTACAAGAACACATAAACATACTCGAGATTTGACTGAACAAGTGGAAAATTCTCGTCAACATTGACAACACTCAGGCCATCATGTTTACGAACAAGAAAATTAAAAAAAATATGCATTTTTATGGAGCTTCAATACCATGGGCTGAGAAGGTGCCTTTTCTTGGAGTGATCATCAGTAATTTTCTCACATGGACCCCACACGTAACATCTATGTTACAGAAGACAGTTCATAAAGCAAAACTATTCCCCTTAATTGCTCAAAACACCATTTTATCTTATAAGGTATTTCTCCCACCTTCTTAGTATGCCTTCATGGTGTGGTGGTCCGATGCTGGGCGCATATCCAGAGGTCCGCGGTTCGATTCCCGGCGAAGCCGATTGCTCATTTTTCATCTTTTCTGCTTCCAAAAAATACCTAATGTCTCTACAGTGGTGTCTGAACTAAAAGGGTTGTGGATGACGATTCCCCCCCCGGGGGTTGACTCGGAAGACGTCCTGGGAAGTACTGGTTAGGATTTGTACCTAGGCAGTCTCAACCACGGGGGTACATAATTCGTCTTCATAGGACTAGAACCCGAGTATTGTACTCAGGTAGGTTCAGGCTTGGCAGGGACCGTACTGGTACTGCCGTGTCTGTTCCTCCGGCTGTGGTGGAGCTAGATGGTTAGATAACACGGATTTATCTCGATGGGGGACCAGCCCTCAGAGTTCCAGCGACGGAGACTGATATAGTAAGGTAGCACCCATCTTTTTTGAATTCTGCGCCGAGGGAGTGGTGCCCCGAGGCAAAGGTGTCTGAGTGTTCTTTTTCTTCCGCATTAGCGATTTTCTCTTCATCCTGCTGAGGCTATGTATAAAGCCGAGCAGGGACTGTGGGGCCTGAGCTGCCACTGAGGGGTCTGCTTGACCCTGATAACTAACCTCGTAAAGGCTGACCAACGTCTCCAGGTCGAGGGTCTTGGTCATGGTGAAGGTGAGAGTGTGGATGACGATTCTCCTCACCCAAGATTGGGCAACTGGGTCCCCTAAAAACCCCAGTCACTCTTTAAAAGGGGGAGTATATAAGGTATTTCTCCTGCCTTCTTGGCATTCCTTTGTGGTGTGGTGGTCTGCACATTGGGAGCGTATCCAGAGGTCCGCGGTTCGATTCCCGGTGAAGACAGTTGCTCATTTTTCATTTTTCCTGCTTCCAAAAAATACCTAATGTCTCTACAATCTAGTGACAACAAGTTACTTATTTACAAATCCGTACTGCGTCCCATGCTTTGCTAGGCCTGCCCAGTTTGGGCATACTTCTGTAAAACTGTTCGCAAAAAACTTCAAACTGCACAAAACTGTATTTTAAAACAAATTACCAATTCACCCTGGTACATTCGCAACAATCGTATTCACACTGAACTAAGAACTGATCGACTTAGGACTGTCTACTGTAAACTAGCACTAACTTCTTTGAAATTCAAGGAAATATTCAAAAATCTGTAATTACAATGTTAACCCGTGACCACACGCGCCAAAATTACGAACACGAGAAGGCGTGCTGGGTATGTCATACCGGAAAGCAATTAACACATTTTAAATTACATTAATAATATAAATATGAGTATAAGTGTGAATTAACATGAAGAACAATGAAATTTAGAGTATCTTAAATAATATAATAATTGAAGTACTTAACATACAATTATTTTGCCCATCTCTGGCAGACTGAACACATATGCTCTATACAAATACTGATATTACACTTCTCGCACAGAAACTGTGTCTTTCTGTCCTTGTTTTTAGGGCACTCAGCGCATCTTCTGTAAACGTTTTTCATCTTTTTAGATGGTAGTTCCATGTTGCAATCTCCTGAAATTACTTTTTCTTTTAGTTTCAAAGGGAGTATGATTTGCTGCCGCCATTGATTTGAGTAATTTTCCACTTTCAAATAACCAGTATTTCCTAGAATTTTAAAGATAATGCTTTTGGAACTAGTCCTAATATTCGCTCAGAATTTGTTTCTCTTCCAAGCCCATTTTTACCAACATAATTTTCCTCATTTGATTTATTTTCTAATTCAGTATTTGTATCACTGTCTGTTGATGAATTATGAGTGCTGTTGCATTCTTCATTTGTTAATTCTTCCTCCTCTTCACTAAACGATTCATCATCTGTTGAAATGGTTTCTAACATATTTCTCAACCTTTCCATTTGTTTACCATAACTTAGATGCCGTGCCATGCTGACTAACTAAGAAAGTGG